GCACGGATACGAGCCTTGGCGTCCGGGTTCAGCGCCTGGCACGGCTTGCCACGAATTCGGGAGCCCAATGCAATCAAGATGTTGCTGCTGACTTGATTGTGGCGATATTTCCCGCCCGCCATCGCGTAGACAAACCCACCGATGTACTGATGGCGGATGTCCGACCTTTCTTCGGCAGCAGTCCTCGACGGAGACCAGTGGTAGGGGTTGTGGACCTGCCATTTACTCCGTCAGCCTCGGGTCGGTTTGCACTTCCTAGCCACTATAACGTCCTTGGCTGTGGCCAGCCGAGGCGTTTAGCGTTTACGATTGCCATCTGTCGAAGAACCGCCCCGCCCTGCCCCGACGGCCGGTATGGATCACGCCCCGCCGCCGTCCGCCAGCTCAACGCCGCCTGCGGGCTCACCCTCGGCAGCGATCGAGCCGACGCTGCGGCTGGACGACCTGCTCGAAGAATGCCTCGAGCGACTTGCCGGGGTCGCGCCGGTTGAAGACGCGCGGGTGCTGCGCGACTTCCTGCCGCCGTCGGCGCCGAATCACGCACCCTTCTTGCTGGCGGAGTTGGTGAAACTCGACATGGCCGCCGCGGCCGAGATGGGGCGCGACCCGTGCCTCGATTGGTACCTGGCGGCGATGCCCGACATGCTCGTCGCCGAGCGGTTGCCCTTCGACCTTGTGATCGAGGAGTACCAGCTCCGGCGCGAAAATGGCCACGATCCGCGGCAAGTCGAGTACGCCCAGCGGTTCCCGCAGCACGCCCACCTGCTCGAGAAGTTCTCCTGCAACGCGGTGACGGTCGCGCCCGCGGGGGGGAAGCCGACCGCGCCCGACGAGTTGATGGCGGGCGATGTGATCGACGACTTCACGGTCGTGCAAGAGTTGGGCCGCGGCGCCTTCGCGCGGGTTTACCTGGCGAGGCAGATGTCGATGCAACGGTTGGTGGCGCTCAAGGTCTCGGCCGGCAAAGGGGACGAGCCCCAGGCGCTAGCGCAGTTCGACCACCCAAACATCGTGCGGGTCTACGACCAGCGCGCGATGGACGACGGATCGACCCACCTGCTCTACATGCAGTATCTGCCCGGAGGGACGCTTTCCGACGTGGTAAAGCGAGTTCAATGGGCGGGGTCCATGGCGTGCAGTGGCGCGGTGATGCTCGACGCGATCGACGACAACCTGCTCGACGCCGCGCAGCAGCCGCCTGAATCGTCGGCTTTGCGGACTTGGATCGCCGAGGCGGCTTGGCCGGTGGCGGTGGCGTGGATCGGCGTACAGATCGCCCGGGCGCTCGACGAAGCGCACCGCCAAGGCGTTTTCCACCGCGACGTGAAGCCGGCGAACGTGCTGCTCTCCGCCGAAGGCATTCCGAAACTCGCCGACTTCAACGTCAGCTTCGCGGGCGCCGCGGGCCGCGCGGGAGCGGCGGCGACGCTCGGCGGCTCGATCGGCTACATGGCGCCCGAACACCTCGCGGCGATCGGCGGTCTGCCGGACAC